CCCCAAAACCCCAAAACCCCAAAACCCCATGATGATTCTTAGTATTCGAAGTCATGAATGCAAGTAAAAAACAAGGATTCAAAATAATCTACTAATAAGTACATTATTACTCTGTATTTATAATTAAATTATTTTCAAATCACGGACATTTAGATGCGACTCTCATCATAAATTATCATTAATCATCGATATCAAATTTAAAATCTACTTGGAATGGGTTCCTACGCAGAGGTCTATTCAGTTATAGATCTTTCAAATGGAAATCAATGTGCTCTTAAGCTTGTAATTATTTACATGTTCAAATTCTTTTAGACAACACTTAAAGAAAATTTTAAGAAAGAAACTTGGATTCTCAAGAATTTATCCTCCTATAATAGTAGTGATGGTAATTGACAAAATAATTATTGACAATTAATTAAATAGGCTTTCCAGAATTCATAGATGAAGGCTAATATGAAGACTCGTTTTATATTGTCATGAGCATGCATGGAATGAGTCTTTAGCATTTTATTTAACAAAGAAGAGTATTGTTGAGCAAAAAATCAATTATTCAGATTGGAATTTAGCTCGTAAAATTATTTGGAGTATAATACTTTAGTTTCGGTACATATAAAAGATTCACAATTCCGGGTATGGACACTAAGATCTAAAGTTGGACAATATTTTGTTGAAAAGCAATAACTTTGAAGATTCTGAGTCGTCACTACTTTGCATTGTCGACTTCGGTATTTCTAAAGCTCTTAATATATTGGATAAGAGTGATAGTAATTAAACAGGAAAATTCTATGTTTTTGAAGGCAATATAAATTTCAGCAGTTTATAGTAAATGAGATCAAACAGTAAAGATTATCTAATTTATTAATATTCTTTTTAGAGCCCAAAATTCAAGATGATTTGATTTCAATTCTATACATACTCATATATTTGGAAAAAGGCAGCCTGCCATGGATTTAGAATTATTAGAATTGCGATAAAACATAAATGTTTCACAAAGTTAAAAATATAAAAAAATAATTCCATCGGTTGCAATATGACTTATCAACCAAGAGTAATCAAGCCAAAATTGGTAATAATTCTGGATTATTTGAGTAATTGATTTCAAAAATCGATAACTGGAATAATAAGTAGGAATCAATCTATGGGTATTTGATAAATTAACTAGTTATCCAATTGGAAGATAGAGAAGAGATCTTAGATTGGAACATGGATTGGACAAAAACTTCAAAAAAATGGACTGAATCATATCACCACAATCAAGGCATATTTGAGAGAATACTCCATTAAGCTAGATATTAGCTTCCTTTATCAGTAAAATCAACTATTTCAATTGATAGCGCACCTTTCAAGAATTAAGATGACACTGATTCTAACAACTACTCACATAAATAAAAAATAATTGGCAATCAAGGCGGAGAATTAATTGACCATGCGTTTGATTAAAGTTGCAAAACAGCAAATAGTTCAAATCAATCTAATTCGAATGTTAATAAAATCAGTTTACTTGATAATGATAACTTTAATATCAACTTTTAAAATTTGATGAAAATTAATCTTAGAGAAAGGCCTTAAATTTTTAAGTTAACAAATAATAAAAACGGGGGAAAAAATTTTTTAGGCTAAGATGCGACTAAAAAAGAACAAGAGTAATTTCAAATTTAAGAAGGAGAAATAAGAGAATCCGAGATGGATGAAGACGTTTAAGAGTCATTCTCATATTATGAAGACTTATACAATATCAATTATCACATCAACGATTTAAAGCTCCAATGTATGGCTGAAAAAAACAAAATCAATTGATTCAACACTATAAGTAGTACAATAATACTCATCATTATAATTCCAATATTTCTAATAATACTAATTTTATAATAATGTAACAATTTAAAATTATTAATCTCACTCTCATCATATTTTCTAAAAATACTCTATTGAGGGGTTTTGGGGTTTTGGGGTTTTGGGGAGATCGGAAGAGCACACGTCTGA